TGGGGATCTTTCTTATGAGGAGGAACGACTCGCTCGAGAATTAAGGTTCTACGGAACAAAACAGTGCCACTTGTCAAAGTCGTTTGGCGTAATCACACGTTAGAGAAAGCCACATGGGAAATAGAAGAATCTATGAGAGCGCAATATCCATACTTTTTCCACAATTGACCTCATGTAAATTTCGAGGACGAAATTTTATTAAGGGGGAGAGAGTTGTAACGCCACGAAAACCGGTCTAAAAGAATTAAATAATAAAAATACCAAAATTCTAGCGTGTTGGCCCCGAAGGCCGGAAAAATAAAAATATTAGGAAAAACTTTTTAAACACATTGCTAGATTCCATTTATTTTCCGAGATCAAAATGCGATCAGGTTCGAAATCGGACTTCGTTTGAAAAACAACCCGAAATTCAAGCAGATAAACTATTTCCTATAGAACAAGAATTTCACCCCAAACCTACAATCATCCCCTCTCAATCTCTAGGATTCAACAATCAATCCCAATAATTATTCTCATCCCATTATCCTCATCCCACACATCATCTTGTTCCCAACCCACTCAACACACACACCTTCCTCTCTCATCACTTTTGGTCTATGGAGGGGGTGAGCTGTGTGTGAGATGACGCAAAAAGCATCTCTGATTTTACACAAAAAGAGAACCCCTTTCTAATATTTACGCTCCCACACTTAAAGAAATCCCTGCAACTTTAGTCATCTTCATCATCCAGCTAGCTTCTTCCACCATTAATGGAGGCTTAAGAAGCTAACACTAGGTAAATGAGCATACTCCATTCCTATTGTTATTATACTTATTTTAACGCTCTTTTTACTCCATTCACCACTGTGTTACCAAGGTTCAAAGATAAGACCTCATGACAAGGAAAGCTAGAAGTAGATATATGTTAAGATCATTGTATTCCTCTACAAACTCCAAGGTGTGTACCCTAGACTTGTTCCGGTGCTAGATACCTTAGAATCATTTATAATACATGATTTCCTATATCTACATGTCACTCTATGTTAGGCATACCGATAGTATGATAAAACGCTCAAGTTGATATATAGGAATCACCGACACCAGAGAATGCTAAAAAATGTGCCAAAACAACCCTATAATATCCCTAAACAACTTGGTGATTCAAACTAGATTATATATAATTAATATCAACACTTTTGGAACCATCCTATAGCTTACAACAGGCCAAAAAATGTGTAGGAACCTTTGGCAGATTGATCACCAAAGCTGTGATCGATCACCCGATGTTAGAAAGAAGCTCCAAATTTTTTTAAGGATGGTGATCAATCACCAAGCTTGTGATCGATCACCTGAAGTTTTTTCTGTTAAGATGAAGATGTTTTCATTTTGGGGGATCGATCACCCGACATCACCAACTCACATTTAGGCCGTTTTTCGATATTATATGAAGGGTAAATCTTTTTGTATTTGTTGAATTAATTATGACCATATTTTAATTTCCAAACTTACTAAAAGTGAATATTTTTGATGAGATTATATATGTGGGCGATATTAGGAGTTGAGTACGTACGTACATAAGGTCCTAGAACTGGTCAAGTGCCGGGGGATCACTCAACCCGTGTGTCTGGAGCTAGAAGATTATTTATACCAGAATGGAAAAGGCCATAGAACAAATTCTAAACCTGAAGAGAAGCGTGCTTGGACCCCGATTCAAACATGGGAAGTCTTATCATTTCTTTTTTGTATGGAGATTGATTCCAAGGTATGGAGAGGATTTAAAGGATTAAATGATGGAAAAATGATTAAAGATGTGATTTTACTTTAATTATTGATATGATATAACTATAAAAAGGATAATTACTACTTGATTTATTTGATTGTGATTATGATTAATTCTATAAATTCTAGGTTGTAGTACCACTCAGCGGTTTTGCTGAGCGCACATTTATCTTTGTTGTTTGACTGTGTGTAGGTAAGAAGCATGATGGAGCCGATCTTGGAGGATGCTGAGGCGGAAGAGATGGCGGAATGGGTGTGGGAACAATTTCACTTCATTATCTTTCTTTAAATTATGTTTGAATAATTTTGAGTCTTAAACCCATGTGTGTACTATTTTAAAATTCCTTAAGCTTCCTTCCCTACTCTAAAACAATTTGTAATGTTGAAATTTTGAATCATTTGAACTATTATTATTAAAATATTTTCCTCAATTTATGGATGTTACTTTACCAATTTTCTAGTGGTTTGGCCCGCTAACCCAAATGAACCGGGTTACGCGGATCGGGGTATTATAAGTATTCCCTAGAAAGTCATATCCACATATAAAGGACTTTGGGTTGGCATTCGGAGACTAATTCCTTAATTTAGTTCATTGGCTTAAGCCGGTAACTGAATCCCCAGAGTTTGTGCAAATGACCCTGGGTTACAGACATACTGAAAAAAGGGGGTGCCTGACTAGGCAAACGACGACGATGGCGGCCAGATCATGACCTTACGGCTATTGAATTTGTTTTATGGCTAAATATGTTTCGATGTGGTTTTTTTTGTGACAAGATGAATAAACAACTATTCGTAGAGGAAATAAAAGAATTGAAGAGGCCGCCGTCACCGGATACCTACTAGTGACGACGACGGCTGAAGCAATTGACTAGAGCAAACTAGGGTTTAGGTTCCAGGTTGACTCTGATACCATGTAAAAAATAATAATGGAGAGTAATTCTATATTGATTTTTCTCGTGGAATACAAAGATTCAATCTTCTTTATATGTAAAAGAGGGTAAAGCAAATAAGTAAAGTTTTATTCCAGCCATAATTCTATTCCTACTATAACATTAATAAGAAATAACTAGGAAAATTATCAAATCCTAAACCAAACTCTAACATATACATTACCAAAAAGTATTGTATGTGAAGTGTTTATGTATAGTACCACATTCATGGGTGCCGGAGGGTGTGCAAAGTGGTCAACCGCCTCTTTTAAAATGTAGCACTAATTTTAAAGTGTAAGTACTTTGAAAAAATAAAATAGGGCCCAAATGGTGACTTTTGCACAGGGCCAAGTTCACTTTTTCATATTTTCAGACCAGCCGTGGCCACATTACTGCAGTGCAAACTCTTATTTTAGAGATAAAAGCAAGGAGCCCCTGATACTTTCTCTATGTTTTCCCTCTATTTATGGTGGTTTCTTACCTTATTAACAGTCTTTTTAATTTTTATGAAATTAATTTGGATAAACCATTTTCTGAAACTTTTTTTCTATAAAACTCCTAAAACCTCACATTTTAATTGGCTTCCATAAAGAGAAAAGACAAAAGATATGAGATAATTGTCGCCTAGGATAAAGCTATTTGTGAAAGTCCGTAGGGGCGCAGCGGAAATCACCAATTAAGAGCTCTGCAAACAAATCAACCAGCTATGCTGCAGATAACATTCTGCAGCACTATCACAAGCACACACAGAAGCAGATGACGCAGAGGGTGTTACAGCGCTTTCTGGGCAGAAAGCTGTAACTGTAAAAAGCGTAAAAAATAACACCAGATATGTTTACGCAGTTCGGAGAAACTCTCCTAATCTGCGGGGCCCACGTCCGTGTAATAGCCCTCCACTAAATCACTAGATGCAAGTTACACCGGTACATAACAACATGATGAGACACTCTTCTCCGAATTGCTATGACAAAACTTCTAATCTAGGATTTCTAACCCGAACTCTGTTCAGATCCGCTTCGGCTATCACATCTCCACCGAGATCACGAGGACAAACGTGTTGGCAGCCCACTCGTTCAGCTCTTGTTCATCTTCTGGATGCCACGATCTGTTTGGCGTTGTAGGACTCCTCCTTCGTGTAGATCGTGACCTTCTCCACGCATGGGAAGCTCCGGGACGCGACGGGAACGCTCTACATCAGCGTATATTCTGTATTTTCCCTCTCAATCGCTCCAAGTAATTCCCAGGAACCTGCTGCGTATTTATAGGCTTCTCTTAACACAATCCTAGTACGAATAGGATAGTAGAAGTTGGCTTGAACTCTACTTCCTTAATCTTGATCCACAAGTAGCCTAAAGAGTTGGGATTCCTTAGCATGTACAGCTGGATATATTATCATGTAATCACAATCCCAATAGGTCTCTAATTCAGATTGCAGCTTAAAATCCCGTGCTCAGACATCTGATCCCGAACAGTGTGTTGCAGCATCGTGCTGTAGCATCTTCTGCGTCAACCTCGAAAACTGCAGCAGCTCTAGAAGTCTAAATAAAATAAACCTCTCCTAACAAATAGAGGTTTCTACCTAGTAAAACATCTATCACATATGGGATTCTATTTTGCCAAAAGATTGGCCAACACTATGGAACCAACAATTTGTACCCCATCTTTTTGTATCTTTGTACCCCTTAGTTTTGCACCAACACTTTGTGTTGGTGTAAAACTAATTTTTGTTAATGCCCAACACTGTGTGTTCGTGTAAATTTTTGTTAACGCACCAACACTTGTGTCGGTGTAAACCATTAAAATGTTTGTGTATAACTGCGGTGTACAAATGGGGTACAATTTGTGGTGTAAGTATAGAATGACTCTTGTCGCCTAACATTGACAAAGGAGGTGTGGTTGCTTTTGAAAATAGCCAGTATTATGGTACGGAGTATAATAATACGAGTAATTATTAAGTTGGACTGTTACCACTAACTTCCAATACCAATCATACACGGATTAATAATGCAGCTTCTCCTTCCAAAAAAAACTGTCCATTCCCTTTCTTTGCTAGAATTGCATCTCCGCTGGATACTTCTTAGGTACCGCTTGGCTTTAAAGTTGACATCATAGTATCCTAGTCCTACTCCATCGGTTGATTACTTATTTGTCTTTTGTTTTATAAATTTTATAACTACAAAATTAATATGAAGTATAAAAGTAAAAAAGTATGGATTATATATTTTTAAAATACATCAAAAATTCTATAAAACAAAATATGACAAAAAAATTTTATTTATCATATTATCAATGAAAAACGATAAATAACCAGAACTTTAAAACAAATTAGAATCCGAATTGAAAAAAATGAATTGAGAGATGCAGTTTAAAAGTCGCTGTTTTGAAAACCTCAAATGTTTCCTACCAAGTACAGGTGTCTCAAATTGGATTGGCAACTCTTCGATACATCACCCCAGAAAGCTCAACATCCCATCTGCGCAGCATATTTGCTACTTGTTGTTTTGATTGGGCCAGGTACAATACACATCGTCAAGTATGTATATATATATATATATATATATATATATGTATATATATATATATATATATTTAATAAAGATATAAAATTTTAAATTTAAAAAAGAAATATAATATAAAAAGATTAAAGCTATCTACAGTTATTCATTTTATTACTTTTCAAAAAATATATAGAAACTTTACATTAGTTTTTTCAGTGTATTTCAATTATTCATTAATTTATATAATTTCCATTATTAGTAGATTCAATGAGCAAAAAATCTATCTATACTCCCATACAAAAGCAAAAGAATTGGGGAGGAAAGAAAAAAAGCAAGTGTTTTCCCGCCAAAAACATAGCCATATATGGGGCCTGTTTGGGAATAGCGTTAGCTATTAGCGTTAGCGTTTTGAAAAGGCTATCTACGGGTAGCGTTTAGCGTTAGCGTTTTCAAAGTAATCTACACCGTTAAAATTTTATCCAAAACGCTAACGCTAATATTTAACGCTATTCCCAAACAGGCCCATGGTCGGTTGATCTGATTTTCTATATAGATCAATGGCTATTGTTGCATTTTTGGTGCCGTGTGTGAACTAGTTGAAGTTAATTGTTGGCTTTTCTTATGTCTCTATTCATTAATTGCAGTAGAGGAGCCATTTACACTTATCCATGCACGATTGCACGAGAGGAATATTAAGGGAGTATTAAATGATGCAATGTTTAGAGAAAAAAAATGATGTAACACAATTGATTGCCTTGCAATAATTCTCTCTTTTATTACTCCGTATTAAATACAAATACTTTTACAAATCAATTATATAGAAACCACTTTAAATAAGACTAAAACATAGATAAAAATATTAAAATAGATTTTCTATGTTTTTATTTTCGAAGTAGGACTTCACACTGTGATATTGTGGTTGCTGCACACGTGCACATTACTATACTTTTTGGTAATATACATGACCATATTTGGTAATATAAATGCATTTTAACTCGTATTTCGAGAATAAAAATATGCAAGTCCTATTTTGGTATATTTTCAATGTTTTACTCCTACTTTAGTTTTTTTCCCTAAATTATAATCTTACTCTGAATAATGTACAAAATTTAATGTCTTTTGTTTATATATTAAATTGGTATATGTAAAGAGTACAAATGACATTTTTAAGAAATAAAAAATACTACAAAACAAGAGATGATAATAACAACAACCGAGTCTAATTATAAAAAGGTAGAGTTCGAAAGAAAATATTTTATTTCATCAATTGATAATAAAAATATGGAGTATAGTAAATATTATCGAGAGGTCCATGTAATAAGTTTGAGGATAATTCTGAGACGGAAGGAGTAATTTTTATATAAACACGTTGATTGTAAGACATACAAATTATTATTAAAAATTGGAAATTCATACATATATATAGAAATTAAAATTTAGTTTTCCCTTGGTTCTATCAAACGACGCATGAGTTAATAATATCGTTGATTACAATAGCGAAGTAATTTTCCACATATTTATTCCTCCCTCCAAAAATCTCATTTACATTTAGTTTTTCAAGGTCAAATCTTATAAATTTTGGCTGCTATTATTTAAAAAAATATATTTCATCCGTACCACAAGGATGTTCTCATTTGATTTTTATGGAATTTAAGGCAAAGATATTTTGGTATTTACTTTCCAAAAATACCTTTGATGTGATGTATAAAAGTAGGATGTGATGAATAGATTATAAGTAAAAAGATACTATGCGATAATTAGGTTAAGAATTAGTAAGCGTAAAAGTATTTTTTAATAGAAAATGAAATAAGTTTGTGGGACAACAAAAAAAAGGAAAGGGGAAGTAATTTTTGAGTCAGAGAGAGTATATAGTTATAATATAAATTTAAAATGAGTACATTTTTACTATAATATAAATTTAAAATTATAAGTAATATATTTTGGCACAGTTTTAACATATCAAATTTTTACCATCCTTTATTTATGTACAATTATAAATTTATATTACACTATTAATTATCAAAGTATCTTAAAAATATTTTTAAATTTTTACTATCCTTTATTTATGTGCAATTATAAATTTATATTACTAGATTCACACTCGTGTGTTGCAAGGGATAAAATTCATTGCAGAATAAAAAATTTCAAAACATTTGGGATTCACAAATAAAACAATTCAAACCACTGTGAGCTACATTTCTTGAAATGCAACATACAATTTATTAATTACGGAGTAGTTTATTAATTTAGTTTATTGTGTTAGGAAAAAGAAAGCAAAAATGACTATCTAAAGTATTCAATATTTGCATTTTCTTATCCCAATTGTATTTGTCAATTCCATAGTTCAAAATTTGTCATCCCTTTTTTGATGTGTTATTTAATGTTTTATTTCATGCAAAAAGATTCGAATCAAAATTTACTTCAGCTCTTCCACAAACGCTATTCAATGACTAATTCGTTTATTACTTTATTAATTATCAAAATATCTTAAAAGTATTTTGTTAGAGAGAAGACGTAACATTCATTAATAATTATTCTTGGAAAAGTAGATTATTATGGATCCTCGAGTGGCCCATCATTCAAGGCAAGAATAACAATATACTCCCTCCCTCCCAAATTATTTGTTACATTTGTATTCCTGAGACAAAATATCAAGTTTTTTCAATTCATTTTATTTACATATTGGTAAAGAAATAAAAAATAAAATTTACATATAAAAAAACTACATGAAAAGTTCTTCGAAATAAGAGGCGTCAAGAATATTTTATTTTATCAAATAACAAATGAAAACGTCAAAATAAATAAAAGTTCCCGACAGTGCTGAAAAAGCAAATATTGTGAATATTTAGGGACGGAGGGAGTAACTTATATAGATCGGATCATAGCGGTGAACCACGCATTCATCAAGTCCTATGTCGCCGCATCAACTCCTCCTCTACCGCCTGCTTCTCGTCATCGGTCACTCCTCCCCAACCGTCACTGAGTCTTTGTTCTTCAACAACTTCACAGAAGGGTTTGATTCTGGTGGAGATGGGGCTGCAATTTTCAATTCGCGATACACAGACATGTACTGTCTGTGATCGATGAATTACAGAGTATTAATGTCTCTGAGTTAAACAATGTTAATTGCAGTTTCTTTTTCTTTTTGACAACATATGGAAAATTATAAAATATTCTTCATACTTGATTACTCCGTATTTGGCAATTTAAGGGGTTGAAATTTCATCAAAGTTACAACGATTTGAAGTATCTGTGTTGAAAGAGTTACAGACTTAATTTGTCTGCGTGACTAAATAGTACAGACATTCCTTGTTTGTGAAATATATTTACACGGAGAGTAAAGGTCTGTTTTGATTCAGATTACACAAATATCAAATGTCTATGTTCAAGAAAATAAAGACTTTTAGTGTCTGTGTGACTAAACAGTATTGATTGTAATTTTTCATTTCTTTTTGTAAACATAAGAAAATTTCTGAAATGTTCTTGGTACAGTACTATTTCGTAGATATGAAGGGTGAAATTTTCATCTAAATTACACAAATAATAAATATCTGTGTATCAAGCATTATAGATATTTAGTGTTTGTGTAACTATACACTAGTAATTATAATTGTTTTTTTTACAATCTAGAGAAAATTGTGAAACATTCTTTATGATAACATTATGTGGTATATTTGACAGATGTTAATTTGTATTTAGGTTTTACAGACAATAAGTTTCTGTTTACGATAAATTACATACGCTTGTTGTCTATGTGATCAAAACATACTCCGTACTTAGTTTATTTTTACAATATAAGAAAAAATCATGAAATATTATTATTATTGTATTATTTGGTAAATTTAACAAGTGCAATTTTCATATATTAAATACATGGAGAACAAAATCAAGATTTGGATCGGAGAAGGGCGACGAAGCATACATTCAATTTCTTCGCCGCCACCGGCTTCCCCGTAATTGCCCTTTCCTCCCAATAGACAATAAACATCTATTTCTAATCAATTACAGACACGTAATGTTTGTGATTACAAACTCACATACACTAATGTTTGTGAGCTGCATAGGTGCTTAAGAAAAGCAATTCAATCAAGATTCTTGAGCTGCTTAGGTGCGTAAGAAAAGCAATTCAATCATGATTTTTGTCTCACAAATAAAGAGTTTTACGAAACAAACATGAAATATGTACACTTTTTTGAGTCGATATCCAGTTGTATGGATGGTAATGTAATACATAAAGAGCCAACACATACAAAAAAAACAAAGCCAGTGAGACCTAACGACCCAAAAGCCTGAGGTTATACAACCAAAGAGCTAAAGTTGAGTCTTGAATTATACACAAAATCAAGCGCAACTTCATAGACTGAAGGAGCAAGGTAGAGTTCCATGTTAGTTTGCAATACATCATAGAACAAAATTAGTAAAGTTCACAATTATTTTTAAAAAAGTCTAAAGCTAAGCTTTCAAAGGCCATAATAAAACTCAAGCATACCAAGACAAACCAAAATAGTTTAATCAGCGATGTAAACATGCACCATTTTAAATATGCATGAAAGTGTACATAATAATCAACTCCAAATAGGCCAAACACTCAGATGACACAAATCTAGATTACTAGAACTAATAATTCTCGTGTTTCATTGAACCAAACTAAAAGACTAACACAAATTATGCAAGAAATACATTTGTAGATACTCCTTTTTTTAAATGTAACTCATATATAATCTATTGGAAAAAAATAAATGTCATCTACAATGTTCATCTATGAGTAAGTAATTCACATACACTAACACTTGTTTACCAAAGACACATAATGTCTCGGTAACCTCACTCACTCTTTCTTCCTCCTTAGATCCCTCAACTCCCTCCCTCCCTGCCGATGATCAACGCAGCACCATGCCTTCATCATCACCGCCACAGGATCTATATCATGAGATCAATCCTCTTCCCCGCCCCGCCAATCTTCTTCGTTGTCAACGCCCGTTCCTCCCCTATTGCCACATCGTCTTTCTTCTCCTTCAACAGCGTCACTGGAGCGATGGAATCTAGTTGAGATGGCGGAGCAATTTTATTCATGGTACATAGACAGTAGGTGTCTGTTTTCAAAAAATTACAGACATTAATTATCTATACGACTTGATAGTGCCTATTGTAACTTTTCTACACCATCAGAAAAATTGTAAGATATTCTTGTTATTGGATTTCTTGACATATTTGACTACTGTAATTTTCTTCAATGTTACACAGATCATAAATGTCTATGTAACAATACTTACAGACATTAAGAATCTTTGTAACTAAATAGTGGTAATTGTAAATTTCATTCTTGCTTTGGAAAACTGTGAAATACTTTTTATATAGGATAATTTCGCGCATTAGATCGATGCAATTTTTATCCAGATGAAACAGGCAATGAGTGTCTGTGTTCAATGAATCACAAACATTTTATGCGAAAAAACAATACTGATTACATATTTTATGCAAGTGCTTTAAGCATGTGAAAAAAAAAGTAAAAGGTAGTGAACCATTCGAAAATTGAGATGTTGAGCATTAAACCCAATTTAACTCAAGTACTTTTATAAGTATATGACAAATAAATTCACATTAAATCAACTTCTACTTTTCTTTATTTATAAGAGAGGTCAAGCTTTATTGGAAGCAAGAAGGGAATAAAAAAATGGCAAACAGAGAAAAAACACCAAAAGGTATAGGTTTAGGCCTACAAATTTGGCAGCTTCAATCACTATTTTGGTAAGATAATCAAGTTATTGAAGCAAATTGAAAATAAATTAGATAAAATTTTACCTAGCGCAGTATTAAAAAAGTAGACTGGGAAATTTAGTGTATGCACAAAATAAAATAGCCAAGAACTATATGCAAGCGCACACAAAATTAGATCTGTGAACAAAATCAAATTCAATTTTTGCCTTAATCAAATTGGAAAATCAAAACCTCCATCGAAAATGAACAAATTCGGAAATAACAATGAACCAAACCATATTTGATTTACCTGTGCAGAAGTGCGAAGACGAAGGCTTGGAGTAGAGGGCAACGTGGTAGACGAAGGAGGAAAACGAAGATGGCGACACTGGTACTGAGGAATTGGAACAAGAAGATGAACGCACATCGTGCACGCCCGTCGGAAATTGATCGGAAAAGAGAGAGAGAGAGAGAGAGAGAGACGGGTGGGGGGCACAGAGAAGGGAAAGAATGGGTAAATGGAGGGTGGGGTAGGGTAACCTTTTATTTGGTGTACACTCGGTGTACAAACCCGGGGTACACATAACATTTTCCTAATTAAAAGGGTTATGCTACACTTACACCCCAAATTGTACCTCATTTGTACACCACAGTTATACACAAACATTTTGATGGTTTACACCGACACAAGTGTTGGTGCGTTAACGAAAATTTANATATATATATATATATATATATATATATATAAAATATGTGTGTGTGTACATACATACACACACACACACATATACATATATATATATATAAGATAGTCTTTAAAAAAATTTATTTCTTAATCCCCTTTTTTTAAAAAGAAACATATTGTTTTTTTGCTTTACACATTACTTCATATTGTCATCCTCGTTTGACGCTGAAATAAAACACCCTCATTCATCCAGGTTGCAGCCCCTTCTAAATTTTGTTGTCATTTTAGTTAGGGGTGGGAACGGATCGGGACGGTCCGGATTTTAGGTTGTCCCACGTCCTGTCCCGTTATATATAAACGGTCCGGAACGGTTCGGATTACAAAACGGGACGGATTCGGGTCGTCCTACTTTGTCCTAATCACATATATAAGAAGGGGAAGAGAGTGACATTTCATTCAAAAAAAAGAAACATCTAGCCATCCAACAAAAAACAATGAGTGGAATGGGCCCAAATAAATTTCAAGCTCATGAAGTTAATTTAATTAAATAACTAATTAATTAAAGAATGAGTATATTTAAATTTTGGACTAGAATTAGTATTATATATTAGTAGAGTAGTTGAAACATTGTGTCCCAATATATCGGTACAATTACAAAACGGATCCAGGATTTTTCGAGACGGTCCAACGGGAACGGATTTCATGCCCACCCCTAATTTTAGTGGTCCGCGAAAAAATATTATATTCTTCTTAGAATTATATACTTTCAAGCTTCTTCTTTTTTTTCAATTCTGTTTAGTAACTAAAACAAGAATCAAACCTTTTTTTCATTTTGATTTTAAAACGCTCACTATGGATAGTTAACAACATAGTCCGACAAACTAAATTTCAAATTGTTCATTGTAGTTTTTGTGTTATAAAAACAAGATATTTTTTTAAACCAACTGTATTCTATCTACCATTATTGCAAATCGAATAGTTGACAACATTGTTTTAATCACCTATGCGCTTTGTCAGCATGTGATGCAATATATATGTTTTTGAAACATGATCGCACTAATCGTCATGGATGGTTGTGAATTATAACTTAGGATCTATTTGGTGAGTTTTAGAGATATGATACGATATGGATTTTAAAAACTGAAAGTAATGATATGGGTTTTGGTATGAGAAACAAAAGTGTTTGGAGAAAATGATTATGATCTCTTTTATGCCCAATCCACTATTATCCTTGACTTCCCATAATACAATTGTTTCAAAGTTTATTTGTTTGGAAACAGTGGCTGTTGTGAGCGGAAGTGTTGATTGTGAGCGGAAGTGTTGATCATCATATTGTATAGGCTGGCAAAATCCAATGTCTAGTTCTTGTGTTAATGAAGCTTGGAAAAAATTTTTAAAACAAAAACAAAACATGAAGATGGACGATGAATGAAGGGACAACAGGAGACCGCAACAAGGTGGCATCAACATAAGGTTTCAAACTAAAGTCTGACAGAGGATGACGACTAATCGGGCTAGACCCTCGACAGCTACATGAGTAGAATTGGATGGAGGCAGGATCTTCAGATGCACCACGGTGAGTTGGGATGCGAACTTTGGCTATGGCTTACGGTAGTTCCTCAAATTAGATGTTTACAAGCCACAACGTATATTGCACGATACCTATTGACTTTTTGATAGATGCTTTACCAAAAGAAAAGTGTTATCAGAAATATCAATTCTACATATCATCTAACATATGCAAATTTCCTGATATGGTTTGGACCTCTTTTTATCTTCACCAAATGATTTTTTTTTTGAAAACTTGATATCTCAAATATCAAATCCCATATCTGCTTCCAACACCAAACAATTCCTTATATGATTAACTATCTAGATTCATTACACCTAAGTATTTTTTTTACTCATCTTAATAAACCAACCAATAAACTAAATATTAAAGACAACAAACAATTATCACATAAACAAACAATAAGGATTCAGAGTTACCTCCTCGAGTAGTGATGTCGCAAAGCAATAGATGCTTTTTTCGAAAGTAAACTTTTTTTTGGCCGAAAATCGTTTTTAAAACCACATGCTCCGATAACAAAATATAACACTCCAACCTGCGTAACCCGAACCAATGAGTTAGCGAACCAAGTTATTACTAAATTGGTATTTGCATGCATTTAAAATATAATAAACATTCATTCATAATAAATTAAGAATATCCAAAAGTTCATCGAAGAAAATAAACGCAAAACCTTGCAGAAGCTTAAAACCACACATAACTTTCTAAAAAATCCATATAATCAAAGTACTAATTCAAAGAATTAAGGAAACACTTAAGCCATCCACGCCACGCCAAGTCTCTGCCCCCTGGGTTGCTCATCTAATCATGGGTTCCTACCTACGTGCAATCTAAAAAACAACAACGACCACACGCTCAGCTAAAAGCTGAGTGAGAATTTACCCAACACTAGTATTAACTCATAGAGTAGTACCACATCAACATATATTCTAGCACATCATGCAAACAAATTTAGTAATATTAATATTCAAAACATTTTACGATATTCATATTCATTTATCCAGTCACATCTCTTAACCTATGATGGCTAAGGAAATTCATATACATATAAGTCGTGGCACCCCAAACCATGGTTGTCAAGTCGTCGCCTAGGCCACGACTAGTCGGCAACTAGTCGTCCGCTCGTTTTGGCGATGGAGAATTGTTGTGCGACTAGCACCTATGGCCGACTAGGCTATTAAGCGCGCAAGGCGGCGCTTAGCCGCGACTAGGCTACGCCTAATCGGAGAAAGAAATCCGCATAATTTGACCTAATTTAATTGACCCGACCCGACCCGACCCAAATTTCATTAATTTTTAAATTTTTTTAACAAAACGCTGCCTCCTTCGACACAATCCACCCACAATCGAGTTGCGCCTATAGTCTTCCAATTCCAGCGTGACTTCCGCGACTTCCAGGCCTCCAGTGACTCTCCTCCATAATCGATTATCTTCCATCAGCGTCCATCACCGACTCTCCTCCATGGGTAAGTTTTCTTATACTTTGTTATCATTAAAGTATTTCTTTAAATTTTTCAGTTTAAGATTTCTTTTAATTTTTTTCTTATTCTAGTATTTTAGTATTTCAGGTTTTTTTTTCAGTTTAATATTTCAATTTTTTTGGTTTTGTACTAGAAAACTAGAATAAGAAAAAAATTAAAAGAAATCTTAAACTGAAAAATTAAAATTTAATTTTTAGTGATTTGATTCATTAAACTCTAAAGTATAATATACTTTAATATTTTTAGCTTTTTTATTTTTTTAATCTTTCAGTTTTTTTCTGATTTCAGATAATATTTTAATTTTTTTCTTAATTTAGTATTTTAGTATTTCAATTTTATTTTCAGTTTAATTTTTCAATTTTTTTCTGAATTCAATTAATATGTTGGTTTTGTATTTCTTATTTTAATATTTTAAGGGTTCTAGGCTCTTGTTTTTGTTTAGTTGCTAGAATGTCATATTCACCAATTTGATTTAATAATTATTTAAGAACAAATGGGAGATAATAATATCCGCGACTACGAAGACGATCCATCCAAGGACCCCAAACGAAAAGCCAGCTCTAATGATCCCGGATGGAAATATGGGTTTTGGCCATATATGAACAACAAAAATCTGGTGGAGTGTACATTATGCCACAAACAAATAAATGGTCGCATAGGACGGTTCAAACGTCATCTTGCTGGCGGATTTGGAGATGTCACGAAGTGCCCAAATACAACAACAGAGAAATCTAGAGAAATGCATCAGTATTTGAACAAGAACAAGAGGAAAAAATTCATGTCGTTGGAGGTTGAAGATGATCATGAAGTTGGTGATGATGATATGCATGTGGGTGATAGGCCTATGGATTCCTCTATAGCATCAAATCCGTCTATTACTCAACCAAGTTCAGGTACAAATGCTAAACGGAAGCAAGCTGCCCTCAAGTTAACTCAACCGCAATTACAATCAGTTGCTTGCATGGTAAGAAAGACGCTTGAAGAAGTGGTTGAAGAAAGACATACCAAGGGCCCAACTCAAAGAACGATGGAACGGTCTGTCAAAAGCAAAGAAGATGAAGAGCGGGTTCATATGCATATAAATGATTTCTTCATCGAAAATGGGATACCATTTAATGCTGCTAATTCCAGAAGTTTTGAGATTATGATAGAATCAATTGGGCAATATGGACCTGGGTTGAGACCACCATCATATCATGAGTTGCGTGTGCCACTACTTCAAAAAGCAAAAGAAGAGACCATGAAGTTGAAAAAAGATCATGAAAAAGTTTGGTCAAAAACTGGTTGCACACTTATGACAGATGGGTAGACAGACATAAGAGGTCGGCATTTAATCAATTTTCTTGCAAACAGTCCTAAAGGAACTTTTTACTTAGGCTCAGTTGATGCTTCAAGTCAAGTGAATGATGCAAGTATGTTAGCAGATTTGTTGGAAGAAAAAATTGAAGAGATTAGAAGAGATAAAGTCGTTCAAGTGGTAACTGATAATGGTTCGAATTACAAAGCCGCTGGAAGAGTACTTGAGTCTCGTATTCCTAGGCTTTTTTGGACACCCTGTGCAGCCCACTGTTTGGATCTCATGTTGGAAGACATTGGCAAGTTGGCATATTTTAAGAGTAAGATTGATAATGCAAGACGTGTAACCAAGTTTGTCTACAGACATGTAAGACTCCATGCTGCATTGAGAGAAAAAACGGGTGGGAAGGAAATTGTTCGACCCGGAGTTACACGATTTGCCACAACTTTCCTCACTCTTATAAGCACAATAATGCGTTGAGAAGCCATTTTGTTAGTGAAGATTGGAGTAAATCTAAGCTAGCAAACACAGAGACGGGAAAAAAGGTATGTGACATTGTACTTTCTTCTAAGTTTTGGGAGGTGGTAGAGGATTGTATAAGGGCATCACAACTTCTTTTAATTGTGTTGAGAATTGTTGATGGAGATGAGCATCCAGCCATGACGGAGGTGATAGCAGCTATGGATATTGCTATGGAAAAAATTAAGGAGTCCTTTTCCAACAAATCAACATTGCAAAAAATAGTGAAGGACATAATTGAGAACCGATGGGTGAATCAAATGGAGCAAAAAATATATGCAGCTGCATATTTTTTAAATCCTGGCAAGTATTTTTTGCTCAAAGAGAAGGATGAGACATATGCATCTAGGCTTCGGGTCTTGTTTAATGAGGTCGTAGAGAAAATGACAATAGATGATGACAGATTGCAAATGCAGATTATTCAGCAAATGAGTGAATATGATGAAGTAAGAGGAGGCTTTTCAAAGAATATACCAGTGAAGCAACGAACGCTCATGTCCCCAAGTAAGTATTTTAAAGTAATTACTCTTGTGGGAAGTAAAATAAAATTTAATATTATATTTATGCTTTAATTAAATTTTTTCAGTTTATTGGTGGAATTCGTTTGGTGGGTATACTCTCGAGCTTCAAACATTTGCTAGAAGAATAATTGGTCTTTATTGTTCTTCATCTGGGTGTGATCGTAATTGGAGTACTTTTTTGTTTGTAAGTGATCAAAATTTAATAATTTATTTTGAAGTTAGTCCATGCATTATAACACTTTCACACTAAATATTTTTTTTCCAATTAGATACACATAAAGAAAAGAAATCGACTCGAACATCAAAGATTGAATGATTTGGTGTATGTGAAATATAATCGTAAGATTGTCAATCGCTTCAAAAGGCGTCGAGAACAAGGGAAGAAGTTCAACCCTTTGGTATTAGAAGATTTTCAATGGAATAATGAATGGGTATATGCCAATGAGAAAGTTGTTCATTTGGGAGATAATCTTTTGTGGAGTCATGTGGATGAGGCAACTGGGGCTTCAAACAATCTCGAGGGACGTGACTTGCGTAGGAAAAGTGGTCCAAGTTGCACAAGTGAACGTGCAAGTACGTCTAATGCTGAGATTGTCTATCGTCGACGAGGTGCTTCAAATACGGGATTGGTGGATGATGATTTGGAAACCGAGATTGATGTTTTTCCTAATGATGATGAAGATGTTGATGATGACTATGGTCATATCTCTCTGCCTGTCTATGACACCACAATGGAAGAAAATCGTCATGGTGGCATAACGTTGGATGATGATATTTGATAACTCAAAACATGGAATTAACTATTTTAATGTCCTTTGACTTCTTATTGTGTTAATCTTTCTTGGTGTGTTATTTTTCAAGATTGAAGGATATTTGCTTGTTATGTACTCTTTGTTATGTGACTTTATGTGCTATCTTTAAACATAAATTTGCTTTGGTTATGGTATTTTGACATATAAATATATATATTCATGTTGGGTTAATGTAGATATATATAATGTTAAAAATTTCAATACTAATTATGATTTGTCGACTAGTCTACGACTAGTCGCCTAGTCCACTAGTCTCCCCGTCACCGTCTCGACTCGACTTGTCGACTTGACAACCATGCCCCAAACAATGCTATAAAGGGACAAACTTTAAAAAACCTAAAGAAGATTCTACTCTGGGTGGGTTGAAGCTAGGAGTGAGCATATTATCCAAACCGACCGTCCAACCGATGCTTAAAAACCGAACCGCCCGAAATTTTCGGTTTCGGTTTCCAGGTTGGATCTTGAATTAGTTCGGTTAATCTGTTCGGTTTTCGGGTTGGATCTTGAATTAGTAAAACCGACCGAAAAACCGAACAAAATCACCCAAGAATCCAAAAGGTAAATGCCCATTTGATTCAATCCATCCAAAGGCCCAAAAGTATTAACTAAAAGGAAAAGCCCAAAAGTACAGAGAGTAAAAGTACGGAGTAATTTCATTTTCCATTAACCCAACTCGGCAAACCGGCCAAACCCCATTTCATTCTTCATCTTCCGCTGATTCCACTGTCATCTCCATCACCCACTCGTCGCTGCCAACTCCTCTCTCATCGCCGGCAGCCACCAATGTCACGTACGGGACGGAGGCAGTAGATGACGCCGTCAGTAGCCTCGAACTCGAGACGGCCATTTCTCTACTTGCGAATGCAAAAAGGTAATTTTTTAATAAATTTTGGGATTATGTCATTATATGGCTGGCAGCCTAGCTAAGAAATTGCTCTTTTTTTGTGCATTTTGAAGATTGAGTAGTAGTAGTTTTTTTTCGCAGAATCAACCCCCAAACCCAATTCTCAAATTATTTTCTTGTAATGGTGATGTACAATTCGGTTATAAATAACCGACCGCAACAGTTCGGTTTAATCGGTTTCGGTTTTGTCGGTTATGCAAATATAACGGTTCGATTTTGGTCGGTTTTTATAAACCCAAAAAGATTTGGTTAGTTCGATTTTGGGCCGAAACCAACCGAACCGACCCGATGCTCACTCCTAGTTGAAGCCCTTGTCTTTGCGATGCAAAGACATTTCAAAGACTCTCGTATGTACGTTATTAACCCAAGACCACCAGGTGTGTGACAACGCCCCGCAATCGCCTACTTCCTAACCATATTCTATTGGTGATCCAATCAATCAATCCAATTCAGGTCTGCCAAATCATACCAAGTGACCTATTTTCCAATATTAAACAAAATTCACAGTTGTCAACAATAAGATTAATTTAATTCAATTCTCAATTCCATATTACAAACATAACAAGTAGCGGTCTATCACAACCAAAGGCCCACGATTACTGTCATGCACAATCAACAACCCAAATACAATAACCCAACTTACCTGTGCGAAATCAAGATCGAGGAATAGATCCACGGACCCGCTGCCCCAGGCAGAGAAGTCCCCATCGTTGCCGGACCCACCCCAACATGCCTGGCGGTAGCCAACCCGGCTGCCCGAACCCAGATCCCGACCCAACAGACCTGTTTGGAACTCCTGGGCCACCCAAACAACTCCAAACAGACCCAATTGCATCAATTTGAAGCCTAACAGACTCGATTACACTCAATTGCACAGAGATGGTCCCGATTGAACCCATTTAGACCCAAATTGAACCCAATGGGAACCAATTGGACGCAATTGAACCCAATTGGATCCCACATAACCAACCCAAGCCACTGCTGGAGCCCTGGCCGGACTTCCGACATCCGCCGCCAGCGCCTCGCCAGAATCCGACGGTGTTCAACCCCCAATTTCCCTAAATCCAACAAATTTCATTAACTACGAATCAGATTCACAATCAATTACAAGAATATACGTCAAGTTATAATCTATGAATTAACACTAACTATAGGCATAGGGGCCACTACTCACCTCGAAAATTGACGAATTCAACTTGAATAGGAGAAAACTTGCCGCTGCAATTTACCCTAGTTTCGTCAGCCTGGCACGCGCACACAACGGAGAAATACAGAGATAATTAGCATGGAAGATGGTGGGTGACAAAGGCGGTGGTGAACCAACGGGAATATAGAAAAAGGATATAGTCATTGTCTTGTTTGTAATATTTGGAGGGAAAAAAATACTCTCTCCGTCCCATAAAACATGTCCTGTTTCAAAAATGGCACGCTTTTAAAATGAGTAATTTTGGTGTTATTTTCTAATTGTGTCCTTACCTTATAAAAGAGTAGGATGAGATGTGTAGAATATATTAGTCATAATTAAAAAATAATACTAAAATTACTCATTTTAAAGGCGTTCTATTTTTAAAACAGGACATGTTTTATGGGAAGGAGGGAGTACATTTTAAACATCAAATAGGGAATAGTCACGAAAAATTTCTTTATACACAACTCCAAGTGCAGGCAAAGACATTATTTTCTTAATCGCAAGTCAATACTTGATACTTGATAAAAGCTTGGAACAACTTGATTGTCCGTGCTCCATCGCCACATGTATAACATTACTATTACTCCATACTAAAGTCAAAAACATGAAGATCAAGACCTTAGAGAAAATATATGAGCAATTACTCCGCCTATTTTTAAAAAAAGCTTTAAAACATCGTAAAAAGTGAAGTATAGAACATTTCCGGACAAACATGCAGATTAAAGAATAGAAAAAAGTATAAATAAGCAAAAACAGATAACATACTCTATCAAACAACAAAATATCATTTAGTCTGAAATGTGTCTTGAAGTTCATCTCAACTGTATCAGTTCACTTTATTGAACATTAAAGGTTTAAATCACACAAAACAAATGATTCACCATTTTAAGCATGAGAAGCTTCAAGTACATATATAGGAAAAGATAATAAATGACATACTTATGATGTGTGAGCAAGAAGAAATTCCTATACCACCAAAGAAGAGACTAAATTTTAAAAAATTTACCTTTCATTTTTAGATGCATAGCTCTTTCCAAAGCTCTCAAATTGAAAATGAATATTCTTCCATTAATCAATCCAATAATCTAGTAAATCCAAAAGTAATCTTCAAGGCTTTAAGCCGAACAAAGGACTCAATTTTCCTTTAACAAATTGAACAAAGCCTATTACAGAAAACCACACTTCTAATCATATTCAAGGCTCAAATGCAACATAGCACGTCTTCTCAAGAAATTGATATAAACATCTTTATAGTAACCAATAAACTAATCCTTGACAAAAAATTAAATGTTTATTTTTACGGGAGAAGTTCTATATGTAATGTCAATAAGCATAAATAAATTGATAAACACATGGTGAGTGGTCACAAATCCTCTCTTTATAAGTGAAATAAAAGTTACGGGTCAATAACTTTCACAGATAAGCCACACTAACTACACGAATGTGATATCATAAAGGGCAATAAAACTAATGAGCTGACCAAATGTACAAATCTTGAAATATAAATTAAATTTCACAGACGAAACTGTAAATTTTAACACTAAAAGAAAAGGTTAAACCAAAAAGGATTAAATAGGAATAGAGTCGGCAAGAGCATCCAGGTTCTAAAAAAGGAAGAGGGAGTTACCCCGAATCTGTCCACCGCCCATGTATTGAACCGTCTCTGCCGGGAATCAATTGTTATCTCTTGTTTGTCCAGGTCTCTTGCCGCTAGCTTCAGTCAACAACAAACTTAGGTTATGATTCAGACTCCCCCTTCTTCAAATTTGCATCCTCGGTAAATTCTTTTCTTCATTAGTATGGTAAGGCCTCTGCATTTTGGCGAGTAAGAAGAACAATACTTCAAAAAATGGATTAGCGGTAAAGTTATCAAAAGAACGAAATCGATCATTTCAATCGGTAAATATGACCGCCTAAGGAAGAGGATCAAAAGTCTATGACCATCCTTCTTACCACCCTCGTCGCCATTGATGCATGCCTCCATGAATATTAAAAAAAATTCAATACTACTTTAGATATAAAGAAATTAAAATAGAAGTAACAAAAGAGTGTTACCTTCTTTTTGATTCAGTGAATCCAACCAATTCTTCTTCTTCGTCTCGTACTCTGGGCACTGATTCCTCTGTAAAATGACGGTGAATCGATCCACTAGCTTACACCAACGAAATCGACAACTTTTTAGCTCTTCAATCGCAGCGGAATTATGAATTGCCAGAGCTAAAGATGTTAAAGGAAGACACAACAGAGGTGCAGAAGAAGTAGAGATGCTATGTGGGTAAGAAAGCGAGCAGTTGAGAAATGCGGTGCAGTTGAGCGGGAGGTTGTGGCTGACTTTATTATTGTTTATGCGTAAAATTTTGGGCGGGCTTTTTTCATGCTGCTCTTGTATATTGAAGGATTAGGATTAGTTTAAGGTTAATTACCTGATTCATCAATCGTATCTTGGGCCCAGCAAGTCTGAATCATGATATGTTTACGTGAACGAGTTCAGAACAACAAGCTCTACATTGTAGGATAAACCCTCCTATTATAAATGCAAATTAGAAAATTATTTTTGTAATGATTGACCCAATAATTATATTATAAATAATTTCATTAAAAAATATTAAATCGGATTTTGGGGGCATTACAAGTATTCTTTTGATGATTTTTTTGCTAATAAATCTTCTACTAGTGGCTATCGTGCTATGAATGCATCCATATGTAATCAATCTGGAGATTGGTTCCTTCACATGGGTGCCAACACCCATGTCATGCATGATTATTCTCAGTTAAAAGGTATTAATCCATACAATGGCACTGACTTTATTACTATAGGTAAGGGTCAATCCTTACCCTTCACGCACATTAGCTCGAGTTATGTTCACACCCAACGGTAAATACCATCTCCCTTCACTTCACCATGTCCCTTCCATTACATTCAATTTATTATTTATCCACTGATCTATGAAAGAAAATAATTGCTTCCTTATTTTTCAATATCAATAATTTTCGCATAGTGAACGTACAATACTACAAACCATGTGCAGTACAAGGGCATGTGTGAGCATGGTCTATACACCCTCTTTTCCAAGCTTTTGTCCATTGTCTATCAAGCCATCCAAGCATCTACCTGGCATTACAAACTTGAACATCCATCCCCAATTGTCACCAGATCTATTTTGTGATCATTAGGTTTTAAATCTTCCAAACCACTACATTGTGAATTAACTCTATGTCAAAGTCATGTCGTTTACCATTTGATAGTTGTCTGAACACAACGACAATGCACGCTTTAAATTAATGTACTCTAATGTCTAGGGTCTAACATATGTTACTTCTGTTAGTGGTTTATGTCACTATATTTCATTCATTGATGATTTTAGCAAATTCACATGGCTTTACCCACTTTAACACAAGTTAAAAGTATACTCTATCTTGTTAGTTTTGAAAAAACAATTAAAATGAACTTAATTCTAATATTCAGATTTTTCGAAGTGACAATGCAAAGGAATTTATGAATTATGCATCTCTCCTTTTTCATACTCTCCTTTTCCATATGTCTTTCATCATTTTAGATTTGTAGAGGACCAGTTTTCATACTCTAGGCTCTCGTCCACTCCATCATCTCCCAATTCCCCTAATATCACTCCCATGTTTTCTCCCCGTCCAAGCTCACAGGCTTAAGTACCGCAAACAAACACAGCGCCCCAGATTATGGAGCACATTGATTGTTTCTGAAGTCATAGTCAACCTTCATGTTACTCTGTCACAAAAGGACTACAGGTGGTTGACACCCACAATCATACCCATGCTCATGGTCGACCGTTCATATCAACCTCCGCAGAACCCCTACAAGCGATACAGATCTTAGACCATCCAGCAACCAGTTGAAAACACCCTCCTCAACCCACCACCAACACCACTCTCCCTCCTAAAACTACACATACACACCCAATCCTCACCTATAACACTCGCTCAATGTAAATCTGTTCCAAATTCAATATTTAAAAAAACCTATACTGTCACCTCTCTTGAAATACTCCTACCACAAAACCAAACACCTATCACCAAGCCTCCAAGAATAGGTTTTGGTTTCACACTATAGATGAGGAATTTATAGCTTTGGATGAACACGGGACCTAAGAATTTGTACCACTATCAAAACAGCACACTCTAATTGGCTCTAAGTGGGTGCATTACAATAAATAAAACCTTGCTGGATTGGTTTCAAGGTATAAGGCGCGTTTTGTGGCAAAAGGTTATCATTAAAAGTATGGAATTTATTACAAGGAGACATTACGCCTCATTGTAAAATAATAAACAATATGCCTTGTCTTCTCTTTGGATCTTCATCATGACTGACCTCTTCGTCAAGTGGATGTCAGGATTGCCTTTCTACATGGCACTACAGTCAAAGAAATGTTTTTGGAGGAACTCCGGGTTACATAAACTCATAGGGACCACACTATGTTTGCAAGCTGTGGAATACCTTATATGACATCAAACATGCCCAACGTGCATGGTACACGCGTATATGTATTTTTTATAGGGTCTTGTTTTCTGCTGATGTATTCATGACACTATCTTGTTCGCTCTTCATTACTCTCGAGGAACAGTCGTCATTCCAGTCTATATTGATGATATTGTTATTACGTGATATTCTCAAGCTATGCATCGGGACTTCTGGTGGAATGCTCTAGGTCCCTTGCACTTTTTTCTTTGCATTGAGGTGAAGCACACCAAGGATCTATTTTCCTCTATCAAACCAAGTTTGCAGCTGATCTTCTCAGACGAGTAAGGATGTTAGATTGCAATCCTACTATCACTTTGATGGCGTCCCAACTTGTGGTTATGCCATCTACATCATTAAAGGATTTTACTTTCTTGCACAACATTGTTGGTGATCTATGTTATCGGGCTCTTACTCATCCAAATATAGAGTATGTTGTCTATTGGGTGTCTAAGACTATGCACAATCTAAACGACCAAAACTATCATGTCTTCTAGCGCATTCTCTAACACTTAAGGGTATGCTACACCATGGTTTCCTTTTGTGAAAAGGAGTACTTGATCTATGTGTTTATTTTGATTCTGATTTGGCCAATGACCAAGATAATAAATAATCTACCATTGACAACATTCTCATACTTGACTCTAATCTCATCTCTTGGTGTACAAAAAAGCATACCAGCATCTCTAGATCTTCTATTGAGACCTAATATCATGCAATGACTACGGGTCTGGTAGAAGCTATGTGGCTACAATACATTATTTAAGCTTTATGCATCCTCCATCAAAACATCACCTCTAGTGCGACAATAAGTCCACTATCTGTGTGACCAAGAATTTAGCTCTTCATTATCATATGCGGCATGTTGGTTCTGACTCTCATTTTTTTGCGAAATGAAGTCATGGCACGCACTATCACTACTCATCATGTTTCTTCTTCCGAGCAGTTAGCGGATGTTCTCAAAAAACTGTTTCCGCCAGCCCTCTTGTACTTATGCTCCAAGCTTCCTCTCGTCACCTTTGATCATCTTGAGGGGGATAATAGGAAACAAATATAACTATTATTTACTTTTCTTATTCTATTACTTTTGTAATTGTTATTATACTTAATTTACGTTTCTCTTGTAATTCCAATTTATGAATATATAACTTTCATTATTCAATAAGACCAATTATTTTCAAACTATAACACATTTCATTAGGCCAAATAAAATTATACATCCATCCCCATTTTTTCATTTTTCTATTAAACTTTTCATAGTTAATTTTATTAATATTTCCTTTCAATTTAATTTATTTATTATTAAAGTTTTCAAAGTTATTCCGTATGGTTTACAAAAGTTACATTTAGATCCATTGTTTAAAAAAATTATACCTATAATTTCAATTATTAAAAATATGAAAAATTAGAATTTTTGGTTTATTTTTATTCGAGCTTGGTCTTGACTCTTGACATCAAATAACATTTTCCAAGTATTGAGTTATATCCGTCCAAGCTAAAATATTAGTTCATTTTAATACATGTTTAAATTTTAAAATTCATCATTTTCAAAATTTAACATTCAATAAAGGTTTAGATTTTAAAAATCTTAATTCTGAAGGAGTTCAAAACATTAACAAGTAAACATATATTAAAATAAAACTAATTTTATAACGTAGAATGACGTAACTCAATACATGAAAAAATGTTAATTTAATGGTTCTGGACTAACCACGTATTAAAATAAACCAAAAAAATTAATTTCCTAGTTCTTATTAATTAAGATTATAGGAATAATTTATATATTAATTAAAAATATACCTCTTTAATTTAATAAAAATATGAAAAATTAATATTGAATGATTTAATAGAAATAGAAAAATTTGAGGATAAATGTGTAATTATATTTGGCTTAATTGAAGTAAGCAACGAATATGGTCAAAAGCATAATAAAATAAAGATGAGGAATTATTGTGTTCATCCTTGCGAGTTGTAAGTGATCTAAAAACTAGTTTAGGGTACTTTTTGTTACATTATTTACAATTAGGTACCTTTTTGTACAAATGGAAGTTGAGGTACATGTTTATTACAAAACTTATAATTGGGGTATGTCTAATGTAAATCAGCCCCTAAAACATACTCCCTCCGTCCTATAATGATCTTTCCAAAGCACTATTTTAACTTCACGGGAATTTATATTTATTTGTGTTTTTTGATGGCCTATATGATAAAATAAAATATTCTTGTCACCACTTGTTTTGTTGAACTTTTGATGTAGTTTTTAAATATGTATGTTTATTTTTTTATTTCTATACCAATATTTAAATAAAATAGATTGAAAAAAAACTTAGGATTTTTCTTCGTTTTGCGAACCGGAAAGATCATTATAGGACGGAGGGAGTAACACGGAAAAAGAGTGGCAAAGAGTAGACTAAGGTGTACGAAATCTAAATAAAAAATTGATACAAGTATGATTTAATCATATTAAACTTATAATATACTTTTCAAAAATTAATTCTTTTATTAAAATACAAAATAATTTTTATTGAGGAAGGATAAACTAACAACAATTTTTTTACAACTTTTCATACAACAATGCAATTATGGCACCAACAATACTCCATCCGTAAAATTGATATTTTCTAATCACATAACACTCCTCCTGAACCCCACTTAGCCATCACCCCACCCCAACCACAACCTCCTCCCTTAATCGCATTTTGTCCATTTTAGTTGGCTTAAATGGCAATTAAGAGAGGGGTAATGTGCAGGAGGCTAGGGTGGTGGTAGGGTGCGGGGGCTAGGTGGGAAGGTTTCAAATTAGTATTAAGGGAGTATAGATACCCCAATCATAAATATCCCACGTACAATGTTTTACCATTGTTGTATATTTTGGTTTTAAGATTATCCTTCCCCATTTTTAATTAGTTAATTATCAAAGTTGTCCAATTTGACTCCAAAAGATCAGACTCTACAAACTCATTGAAAAGAATGGAGTATAATGGAAATATATGGCCAATAGTTCTGATTTCTGAGGTGTATATTATTTTCCAAAAAAAACTTGTTCTTAATACTTTATCCATCCGATATTTGATTGCCCGTTAAGGTTTATGATATTTAATTGATGTTTATTCCAATTCAATTTATTTAAAAATTAGTATAAAATTTAAAAATACCTAAGATTTATAAGTCTAAACATTCACATAAAAATTATATAAAATAAGAGGTGATAGAACTATACTCCCTCCGTCCCAAAAAGATCGTTACGTTTCATTTCTTTGCGCATCCCTTAAAATATTTTTATATCGTCTCAAATGCCAAAAAAACTTTCAAAACAATTTCATCTTATAATAAAGAGTAAATATGGTAAATTTTAGAAATTTTAGATGTGAGTAGCATTGCTTTTTGTGATGCGCAAAGAAATGAAACGTAACGATCTTTTTGGGACGGAGGGAGTATTATTTATCAAATACGAGTATGTCGCAAAAATAAATAAAAAATAAAATAAAATATAACCATATAAATAGTGAACATAAAATATAAATTAGGGCAAGACAATTTCAAATATTAATGTGGAAATAATAAAGTGCTTCACATGAAAAAGAAAATCTTAAGTTAACGAGTCAATCGGTAAAGTTAAGATTTAGTTGGTGTCTCTCTACGCTTATTGACTTATTGTTTATAAGCAATTTTTCACTTATAAGTTACTTATAAATTAAAAATTCTTTCATGTAGATAAAACAATTTAAATGAAATATAAGTCGTTTAATTTGGAAATATTCATAATAGGTGAGAGATAATTTTGTAATAATCTAGTCAAAACGAAAAAAACTAGCTAAAAAATATGGAGTAAAAAACTGAGAAATGCGTCAGCTTAAAAAACTGACTAAAAAATTTGTAAGACCTAATTTTTTTCTGGCCTTTAAGCAAACTTATAAGTCAGCTTATAAACACAATGAAATACGTCATCTACTACTTTATATGTAAAAAATTAGCTTATAAGCAATTTTGACAAGCGTAGTGAAACACCACTTAGTTCACAAGTTTCCCACTTTGAGCGGGTCATTTGCATCTAGATAATTTTATACCCGACAGAATAAAATGAGCATGCTTTAGAATAAGTGTCCATGGAACCAATTCAATAAAAAACATGTGGTTGTAGATTTAGGAAATATTTTTATATTCTAACAATAAGCAACTAACAGTCATATTGATGGAAGTATGATCCTTTCAAGAAAAAATTAATCAGAATACAAAATAGCTTGAACACGAGTACACTGAAAAGGAAATAAGCACAAGCTAAACTTTAAACAAATGCCACTAGATGTACAATACAATTTCAGCCTAGCGTGTTCAGTTGTAGATGATTCTCACTCTCCGGCCTGTGAAGTGTTGAAGCATGAATTTGTGTAGCAAGGTGTAAGCTTTCGATAACATTGCTGGTTGATCTGTGATGATCTCTGGGGAAGAAAAAACATCGTTCTGGCATGCAACGAAGGCAGATGAAAATTATCTGGCTTTATTCTTTAGAGACTGCAGGCAGTCCTTCCTTAAACCAGGTACAGAGCCCTCCATCCAAGTGGTAAACATTTGTATAACCATTGAGAACTAGCAAGTATGCTGCAATTAGTGACCTACACTAGGTTGTAGAAGAGAATAGCTGTCACTTATAGTGGCGTGTAAGTGACTTGAGGGCAAAACCCAAATCCCATCTAAGTATCGGGGAGGGAGAAATGAAATGAGGGAAGAATGAGAAACCTTGACTGCTGGCCTTCAGGAAGATTTTGAGATGGCCTCAATGTGCCTCCAGATGTGCAAGCTACAATTATTTTCGCATTCTTATCTACTTTAGACGCCACAGCTGCTTGCATGTGTCATAAACACAGTTATAGTAAACATGGTAAGGTGATACGTAATTTACCGCTAAACTAGTGTGCATGTAATACAGGGCAATAGAGACTTGACGCCTATAGTACGTGGAGCATTACTTTGAAGAAAGTAGGGATTTTCTTCTGTTCCTTGGAAGATTCCGAAAAAGGCAAATGCTGCTCGTCTAGCAATGTCCCAAGCTCTCCATTCCTTTATTAGCCTATACATTTGGACATTAATTGCTCCTGGCGGGTGAGCCTATAATTAAAATTTAAAACAACCACAATTGCAGCCAGCAAAGTTAGAACCCCTTTTTGAGGCTTATTAAGCTAAAGAGCTAAAAAAGTAATTCTATTATGCTTAGCTACGGACGTTCATGGTGATGGTAAGTAGCAGGAGGTCACAGTGAGGGACTAAGGTCTCAATATGATGATACGTACGAGTAGAATCTATATCTATATATCTGTATGTACATAATAGGAAAACAAGGGGCGGAGCAAGTAAGGAGCAAATGACTGCAATTGCAGTCACTGGAATTTTTCCCCAAAATCCAAAATGACTTAAATTTTAGTGCTATTTAGTGCAAATATTTCAAAAAAAATCGATAAACTGCTGTGTCCAATCCGCGTAGAGCATACTCCTCTTCTTTTCTCCACCCGTGACCCGTAAACTCTCAAATCTATTCTCTCTCAATCTCCATCTGCAATTGGTTCCTACTTCCTGCAGCGATTCATCTCTAAATAGTCAATATAGCGATAAATCTTTGATCGACATTTGATTCTTGGAACCGGCGAGGGACGAAGTGCAGAGACGGCGGCACCACGGAGGGGTAGTCCACAGTTGGCAATTGGTTCCTAATTCCTCAAATCGGAAACTTAACCTTATTACCAGGTTTTGATCTAATTGTTTAAATCAGCAACCTCATTCCTCAACCCGGCAATTGATTGCCAGGTTTTAACCTCTTTTTTAATGTGGTTTTTCTCAAATTAGCAAATTAATCTTATTTTCCTCAAGTTTGTTGTCTGCAATTGGTTTTCATCTTCTCCATTGAAAAGTTTTTCTTTTGTTTGCTCAGATTTTTTATTTTTCATTTTTGTAGTTAGTTCAAAACTTCAAATAATATCCCATATATAGAAAAAGATTACAGTGGAAAACAAATTAGCACCAATTCATTGCACTATTATCAATTCATTGTTCATGGTTAATAATTATATTTTAATTGATTTCGTAGTCTCTTAAACTTGACTATTTTTGCAGGTGAAAATATCAAATTTTGAATGTTGAAATTCCCTACTTCACAGTTCACAAACAGAAAATGAAAGGTAGCATCCACACACTATACTTGTGAGTTGTGACTTATTTAGATTTAATGGGTATTATTAAATTTCAAATTATGGTATTAACCTTGATTACTTTGTATTGTATTAGCTTTAGAATCATATTTCAAAAAGCTAAAGCCTACACCTCCTGAAGAAAATGTTATTGATGTTAAAGTTCAACCACAATCTCCGATTCAAGATTCTCAAGGAGCAAGTGTACTAGATGAACCTCAAGGCCAATCTCCAACTCAAGAAAATCAAAATGAAGTTGGCACAACAAATCTTGAATCGGATCCAGGAAAAAGGGTTCCAATTCATTTGATGACAAAGAATCCGATTGAGAGACAAAATATTCGTAGATGCGTAGAAGGTATTTATTAAAAGGTCCAACACAACCAAAGCTTCATGATTTTCCTTAAACCTTCATTTATGGTTACAATTGTAGATTCAATCCAAATTGGTATGATGAGTTTTGTGCTTGGCTAGAGTATAGTGAATTAAAAGATGGTTGCTATTGTCTATATTGTTACCTTTTCAATAGAGTTTGGTAGTTCTATGGACATGATGCACTTGTTAGTACGGATTTAAGTGTTGGAATAAGACAAGCAGGTTAAGAACTCACACGGGAGAACATGATAAAGTATTCACAACACATATTTCCATGTTGGGCGAGATTTGATGAATGGGAAAAAACATATTGACGTTGCTCTTATGGATGTTACCGACCAAGCAAAAAAAAGATTATCGTGTTCGGTTACAATCATCTTTGAATTGTGTCAGATTCTTTTAAGAAATGGTCTTCCTTTTCGTGGTCATGATGAATCTGAAAGTTTAAGTAGAAAAGAATTGGTTCTTGAGACTTTGATTTTTTATGCTAGGCCAAATGAAGGTGTGTGGAATGTGGTTTTGAATAATGCTCCTGAGAATAACAAAATGACATCACCGATTATCCAAAAAGATGTTGCTATTTCTTGTGCAGAACTAATTGAGTGTTTGAACACCAAGTTAATACTGAGAATAATGATCCTGAGAATAACAGAATAACAAAATGACATCACCGATTAATGACATCACCGATTATCCAAAGCTTATCCTTCATGATCGCTTTCACAACGTGAACACCAAGTTAATTGAGTGTTTGAGTTGTCTTGATCCATGAGATTCATTCTACAGATTGACACAAAAAAGTTGGCTGAATTTGCTACATATTGTCCTATGGAATTTGATGAGTCTTGTGACCTTTCTTTCCTTTCCTCCTCCTCAGAGATTTTTATTCTTGATGTAAAAGATGATGAAGGATAAGCTAATTTGAAAGGAATAGGAGAACTCACCCAAAGAGTGGTTGAGAAGAAGAAAGACATTGTTTATCCAATGGTGTACTTGTTGGTGAAGTTAGCTTTACTTTTAATGGTCGCAACGACAAGTGTGGAACATGCATTTTCAGCAATGAACTTGGTCAAAGATAAGTTAAGCAACAGAATTGGTGATGAGTGGTATAATGCTTGTATGCTAACTTATATAGAGTATGAGAGTTTGATCGTGTAGAACATGAAGACATCCTACAATATTTACAAGGAATGAAGGCTAGAAGAATGATTTTGTAGACTTGAGGTAATATGATTTATTATGTTATGACTTTTAATATTAATAATATTCATCATTTTATTTTGTTTTGCCTTTATTTCATTTCTCGCCCCTACTCTGTGAATTATCTGCCCCTGACTACGCATATTATAGAACCCAAATTAAATACATTTAATTTAATACAATTGATGTATATCTGAACCGCTGAACAGGCCTTGGGCGGCCCAAATACAATTCTGAGGCCCAACAAGAATAAAGCAAAGTATTGGAGCGCGAAGGGAGATCGAAGCCTGAAGATCGGATGAAGTGGTGGATCGAAGGCTTACCCAATGCAATGGATTAGACCCGGTACAAAGAGAGGACGTGATTCCCTAAACCGTGGGATTGCGGGGGGATTGATGACTGAATCTCCCCCACAATTAATGCATGATGAACGAATCACCGATAATGTAGCGTACGAATTTGCATGCCTTGTATACGGTAGAATTAGACTATAAATAGAGGGTAAATCCTTCGTTGTAAGCCAAGAGATTGAGCTAATACAAACCTACAAGAGTTCTACATATCCCATCAATAATGTTCTTATTCTCTTTTTAGTTCTTCAAACATCAAAGTCTTTAGGCTAAATCCCATCAGGATTGATGTCATCAGGGCAAATGGATTCCCAATTAAATGTGCAAATAAACTTGGAAGATAAGACTGACTGACCTCTTTGAACTCTGCTTCGGGCCGGACGTCAAGAATCACAAAATTGTTCTCATTTTGAAGCCTCAATGCTTCCTTTGGATCCACACTCCTCACTCTCTTCTCAACCAGTTTTGATCTCTTAATTGACCACTCTTCTTCAGCTGCTTTTCCGATCCAACTAAATTTAATGCACAACTCAAATTTATGCTGAAGATTAAGTTGAATAGATACCTGGAGATTTAGCCGGTTTGGTTGCCGCGTTTCGAATCACGAGATCAGTAGTAGAAGCGGGAACAGAGGTCAATGATCGCCGCCTCTTTGGGGATGGTTTCACCGATCTTGCAGTTAAGCAACAATTGACTGAGTACTTTACCATAACCGAGCAGCAGCTATGTGATATGGGCTGAAAATCAGGGTGGAAAGCCGAACAGCATGAACTGGGCATTACGGAAGTGAAAACAGCCATGTTTATTTGCTCCAAATGGAGGAAGCGATTTTAGAAAGAGAGAACAAACGAATAGCCACAATTAGGGAGGGTTGCGTCCCACACTAACTGAGCTGGTGTTGGTGGTGGTGATATAAGTGTAAATTTTTGTTAAAGCACCAATAATTTATGTCAAAGTGAATCATCAAAATGTTATGTATACTTTGGGTTAAGTTTGAGATACAAATTTTGGTGCAAGTGTATCATAGTCCACTTTCATATTTCCCCATCTATTTTGAGCTGATGTAGGCCCCCCAAAAAGAAAAAAAACTTGAGATGTAGGGACTATAGAGTACTCCCTCCATCGTCCATTGACTCCATCCTAAAATGTTCTTTCCAGTTATTTTTTACATGGTCAAACTTTAATCAATTTATTTACCTATTTTCATTAGATATTTGATAAAATAATATAGTTTTGTCACCACTTGTTTTGTACTACGTAGAACTTTTGATATAGTTTTTTAAATATACAAATTTAATTTTTTGATTTTACAACTACAATCAAATATATTAAATTGAAAATAAAGTCGGTCAAATATCGTAAACAAAAACGTGAAGAACATTATAGTACGGAGGTAGTATTGTATTGGGTACGTCTAGACCTTGCAATTGGATCGGTTCCAATTTGGCTTTTTTGTTCAAAATTTAGGATATATCTTTTGGATATATCACGTCGCTGACTTGTTTTTTACCCAAAATTTGATCTGAAAATAATAAATTTTGAACAAAAATTTTGATGATTGACCCGAAATAACCCACTAAAAATGTGTCAAACCCAAATCCAACCTGACCGACCCACTAATATAAGGATTTTTCAAAATTATAGACTTTACAATAAAATATAATGTTATAAAAATAATGTTATGATTTTGTATTTTTTCTTACTACTCATTCTGGAGTGTATAAATTTATATTTTCGGATAAAATTTTTGATATTACATAAGTATCTAACTTTTTTCCAAAATTCATGCATTTTTTAAATTTTTTATAATGATTTATATATCTCAAAATAACATAAGAATTTAAAATAAAATAATCTAATATATTTAATACATTTTTATGATATTTTGAATTTATTCAATGCAAAATGCAAGTGCCAAACAAAAATTTAAAAATTCTAAACACCAAAGTCATAACTCGTTGGGTCAACCCAAATCTAATGACTCTGGGTCATGAATATATTGTTTTCAACCTGAATCCAAACCCGAACTAACCGATCGGTTCAGATACGATTTGGATGTCAATCAATTGGATAAATTTCGGTTTCGGATAAATTTCCATTCAAACATATTTTGGTTTCAAATATATTTGGTTTTGGATATATATCTCGAATCATATAGTTACACACACACACACACATACACACACTAGCATTTCTCCGTGCGATACACGGATTCAAGTGCCCGATTAAAGTTTAGTGTTATACTATATTATATATGAACTTTTCCCATGTATTTGTTTTACGTGTCTTTGTTTCGTATTGTTCAATGTGTAGCATGTTAATTTTGAAGAAGTAAGTTTTGTAATGTATTGGTTATACTTTATCAATAAATTCACTTTAATACCATGTGTACTAATTTAAACTTATGTAATGGTAGCATATCATTGTATTTTTATGCATACTTTTTACTCTACAAATGCATATGTGGTGTCGAAAACTTTAATAACCATCCTTAATATGTTTGATGAAATAAACAAAATCATTTTGGCGAAATAAAAAGTCTATGATAAAACTTTGTGTTTTTTTTAAGCATTGAGCATAGGCTTTGCACCAAACATCGATGAAGCTAAACTGCATGGTATTCATAGTAATATCGATTAATTTGAGCTCAAAGCATGGGAGAATGTACATCTTATAATAATATATAAATGCATTTTATTATAATACAAATATTGAAAAGGAGTAAATATTAGAGTCAAAATTATACTTCGTATTCCTTATTCATTAACATAAATAAATAATACATAAATGGTAATATTTCATGTACCATAATGATAAAGTATAAATGATAACTTATATTTAATATTTCGTACTATGCGTATAAGGAAAAAGAATAATTTTAAGGTTATAAAATAAATGTTGTTACTTTTTCCCAATATTAGCATTGCATGTTCTACGAAGATAAAGACAACATTTTTATGCTTCAGGAGAATTAGATTTATGAAGTATTAAATACAAAGTTCAACACAATTTTCAACATTAATATATAAACCAAAATTTTTAATTTAAAAAAAAATAAAAATAATGAATGGGAAAAAAATATGAAGTGGGATAGTAATAATAAAAATTCAAATATTTTTTTAAATTTTATTACTATAAAAAAGGTTGAACATTGATAAGAAAAGGTGAACGGTTGATAATAATCGGTGGAGTAATAATAATAGTAGTAGTAGTATTAATAATATTATTATGTTAGTTGAATTTTGATATAATTTATTTTAAACTCAAAGAAATATTATAAAAAGAGTTAATGTGACGAAAGTATGAAGTGAGGTATTAAAAATATATAATCAAGGGTGGAATAATAATAATAGTAATAATAATAATAATAATAATAATAATAAGTGGAGTAATAATTGCTGACAAGTCAACCGAAAATCGATAAGAAGTTAGAAAAAGGTTGACCCCAGTAAGATCTCAGCTATAACGGAATGGAACACTCTGAGGGATGCAAGAGAGGTGAGGAGCTTTCTCGGCTTAGCTGGCTACTACCGACGTTTCGTATAGGGCTTCTCATGTATTGCATCTCCATTGAATAAGGTACCGAAAAGGACCCCAAATTTATGTGGACCAACGGATGCCAACATAGTTTTGAGAAACTCAAGAAATGCTTAACTAAGGTGATGGTGCTTAGTACAACCAGTGCCTAGAGTTGACTACACAATTTTCAGCAACACATCTCCAAGTGGACTCGGATGTGTGCTCATGCAGGAGGGTAAGGTAGTAGCCTACGCCTCCTGGCAGTTGAAACGTCATGAGGGTAACTACCCTACACAAGACTTGGAGTTAGCAGCAGTGGTATTTGCATTGAAGATTTGGAGACATTACTTGTTTGGTAAGACAACCTGCATTCACACCGGTCACAAGAGTAAGAAGCATTTGCTGGCTGAAAAAGAGCTGAATTTGAAGCACAGATGGTTAGAGTTGATCAAGGAGTACGATTGCTATACTGATTACCTCCCTGGCAAGGCTAATGTGGTGGCCGTGCCTTCAGTCGAAAGACTATGGTCGAGCTGCGGCTTCAACCTACTCTAGACAGCGAGATCCTTATGGCTGAGTAAACAGATGACTTTTTTGTTATTGCAAGCTTGTCTCTAAGGGGAAGAGACAAGACTTCACCATTGATGGTAATGGCATCTTGTTCTATTAGGATTGCCTAGTTGTACATGACGGCGAAGTAAGAGGATGATTTCTACGAGAAGCTCACAAAACCGTGTACACCATGCACCCAGGTAGCAATAAGATGTATCAAAATCTCAAACAGATGTACTCGTGGCCGACCATGAAATGAGAAATCTCTGAGTTTACATCTAGATGATTGAGTTATCAGCAAGTTAAGGTGGAGCATCTATTGCCAAGTGGACTACTACATCCACCAGTCATCCCTGAGTGGAATGGGAAAGGATCACAATATATTTCGTGATAGGTTCACCCCTGTCAGACAAGAAGAACGATTCCGTTTGGATTATTGTGGACAGATTGACTTATTTAGTTAGCTCACTTTCTTCCTATGAGAAGAGATTTCTCTTTATAGAAGTTAGATGAACTGTATATCCACAAAATTGTTAGACTTCTTGGAGTGCATTTACCTATTTTCTCAGATCAAGACTTGGGATTCACATCTGAGTTCTAGAAGAGTCTTCAGAAAGCTCTTAGTACCAAGCTTAATTTTAGTACTATGTTTCACTCTCAGGCGGATGGCCTGTCTAAGAGAATTATTCTGATCTTAGTAGACATGATGAGAGAATGTGTCATCGATTTTGGAGATGGTTGTGAGCGATACCTACCATTGAAGGAATTTGCCTTCAACAACATCTATCAAGCTTGCATTCAGATAGCTTCGTACGAGGCAATGTACGGAACACGTTGTAAAACCTCGGTCTGTTGGGCCGAGCTCAGCGAGCCCAAGCTCGAAGAACATGGCATTGTGTGCGAAGCAGAAGAGAAAGTCAGGTTGATACGGGATGTAAAACCCCAACACGCATAAAACCTGAACCAACAAGTTAGCAAACTGGGTTGCTACTAAATGGACATCAAAAACAATAATTTTCAAAAAAACAATTTAAAATATTTAATTCAAAACTTTATTTATAAATCCATCAGATTTAATTAATATGGTGCAGAAGTTTTGAAGTACTTGATTCAAAATACAACTAGGGTTCCTGTCATTTAAAACATAATAAATTCAAATGCAATAATTAAACTAAGCAGAAGGGTAGCAAAGACGAGAAGATGGGGTCAACCTTTTTCTAACAGAGATCTTACTAGGGTCAACGGTTTTCTAACTTCTTTTTGATTTTAGGTTGACAAAAACATTATGCTCCTCTTCCCAAAAAATGTTTTTATTTCATTTTTTGTGTCCCACAAAAACTTTTTACTCACAGCTATGATGTCTAAGATCATCACATTTCTCTTTGATTGAGGATGGAAGTTATTTTGGATGTATTTTAAACACTTGAGGTGAGATAAAAATGTTTTATGTAATGCATAAATAATGAAACCGAAACATTTTAGAGACGGAGAAGTAATGCTCTCATGCTTTGCATATAACAATAGATGTCGATAAACACACAAGAAAGCTAATTTAAAAGTCCCAATGTTTTAGATTTTCTCTACACATAAGAGCATGTTTTTTATGGTTGGAAAAAAAGTTCATATTAGAAGAAACTAAAACGAGTTGAAAGAAAACAACAAACTGGAAGATGTTGGAAGATTTTTGAAAGAGTTTAGAATTATTAGAAAAAATAGTGAATTTTGGAAAAAATAAAATGAATGTTGTAATGGGAATTATGTTTCCAAATTATTATATTTTTAATAAAATGATTTATACTTCATTTTATTTAATTGTCTACTTTAATTTTTTTCATACGTCAAAATATTTGAAATCAATCAAAATATGAGTAAC